AGGACAGGAAACAGCGGCTTGTCAAAGGTCCTTGTAATTATTCCTGAGGGTTTTCCTACTGAATTTTAAACTGAAGTAACATCTTGGTATTTACAACTTTTGCGGGTATGCGATTCCATGGGTTTATAAGTCTAAAGGTATATAAGCATCCCTAGTTTTCTGTTCTACAATGTGTCTTGTTGAGCTTGTATATGTTGCTCCTTGTGTGCATTGCATTGGACCTTTTATAAAAGTGGACTAGATTAATATCTTTCAGGTCAGCATTTTAGAGATCTCAATGAGATCAATGCAGTCATATATGAATTATCAGTGTGTTAGTAGGTTAACATTTAATACTTTGTGATAATAGTGATAGTAATATGCATCCTAATTCACTATCATTAATTTGGAAGAAGGATGAGTTTCAACACTGGCAGTACTGTATACTGTATTGTTATAGGACAAAAGTTTAAATGTTATTACATTAGAATGCTGCTACTGTATATTTAGTGTTATAGCATTATCTTCCATACTTGTTAATTGTGCAATGGGAGGTCCAGCCGATCACTGCCAAGTTGGTTTTTGAAGTGCTTCAAGTTATGGCTTCTAAAAGTTACTTGTCTATGTCAAGGATATAGAATCTTGTCTATGTCAAGGATAAACAACTATAATTTGCTGATGATTTGTACAGTCGTAAGTTAGGGAAATAGGAACATTGAGTTGTACATATAGTACTTGCTATCACTAAAATTGTAAATAGACATACTGTACAACAGACAAATAGACATAAAAACAAAACATACTAATAAAAATAAAAGCTAGACATTACATACCAGTTTTTAAAGCAGGACGAGCCAGGGGTAAATGATGGGTTAATTAAACCAGCTGTTCGAGTGAAAAAAGTTAAATTAATTCAAGGTGTTAATTATTGTACAGTACAGTATTCATAAAAATTGGATTAACTTTAAAATTTGTCAAGCAAATTTTTTTTACATTTTAACACTTATGATACAGTATATGAAAAGGTGGGTTAAAGCAGAAGTCATATTTTTTGTTTTGTTCTTTATTATTCTTTTAATTTGTATGCTATTATTTACTCAGTTGCAGCTATTCTTATATTGTACCTTCTTCTAAAAGAAAGATTTGTGTTTAGTTTCTAATCAACCCATAAATTGTCTGCATAGTTTAAATTACTTTTTCTGTTCAATTTCTTCGATTCTCTACCTGTTTTTAAACATCCATTTTGTGCTTAAATGCTCTAATCATCTTAGCATCTGGCCTTGTGTGCTTCTTGAGGTGGTTTCGGGGCTTAGCGTCCCCGCGGCCTGGTATTCAACCAGGCCTCCGGTCGAGGATCGGAGGTTCTGCTATATCTTCAGTCTCTATCTCTTTGTATGACTAATTTGGGTCTCTTTTTCTCCATTCCTTAATTTTCATTTAGTGTTTACTCTCAATTTTTGCTGAGGATTTTTGGTCTCATAAAAGTAATGAGCAGTTTCTTTAGTATTTAATATAATACTAAATATATAATATATATATCATATAATTATATAATTAAAATCAAGTCTGAAGTTGGAAAGTGATGCATTTGCTCCTCTTACAATGTTCTTTATGTGTTACTTTGGCGACAGCTTACTATCCAAAACCACGGCGAGAAACAATGGGCAGAGTTTCTTTCACCCTATGCCCCTGTTACCTAGTAGTAAAATAGGTACCTGGGTGTTAGTCAGCTGTCACAGGCTGCTTCCTGGGGGTGGAGGCCTGGTCGAGGACCGGGCCGCGGGGACACTAAAGCCCCGAAATCATCTCAAGATAACCTCAAGATAACCCCTAGGTCTCGTTCTTTATTAGAGTTCTGTAATTCTTTTTCACATAATTTGTAAGTTGTGTGTGGTCTATTTTCTCCGATTCCACATTCCTAAACATGGTATTTATTCACATTGAATTCTGATTGCCACTTGATGCTCCTAGGACTTATTTTATCTAAATCAATTTGAAGTGCATTACAATAATCTGCATCTCCTATCTTACCCCAGTATCTTAGCATCTTCCGCAAACATGTTCATATGTGTAGTTGTGTATTCCTTCTGGTAGATTGTTTATGTGGATGATGAACATTACTGGTGCAAGAACTGAACTCTATGGTACTGTATTCCACTAGTAACGCTCTTCAAGTCAGATACATGATGTCTTTGATTACTGCCCTCATCTGTCTGTCAGTTAGAACATTTTCTATCCATGTCAGCAATTTCCCCATCACCCCTTCATCATGTTCCAGTTTCCAGAACAGCCTCTTATGTGGCACTGTCAAAAGCCTCCTTTTTTAGGTCCAGATAGACATAGTCAACACAACCACCTCTTTCTTGTAGTATCTCTGTGGCTCTATCATAAAAATTAGAGAGATTTGCTTTACAGGATCATACTGTCTGTTATTATGTACTAATAACAGCTCTCTAGGTGTTCAAACCATATGCTTTAACTATTATTTCAAGTGTTTTAACTACCACGCTTGTTAGTGATATGAGTCTATAATTTAGAGGTTCCTCTCAACTACCATTTTTATAGATTGTTACTATGTTTGCCTTTTTCAAACTTAAATAAAAATTAAGGAATGGCGAAAAAGAGACCCAAATTTTCTTTTTCCATATATCTGCTAAGATTCCTGTACACAAGGATGTCTGGAATATTAATTGGAGTGGAATGCTCAGCTCAGTTGAACATTCTCACAGCACCCAAGGTGAAACTCAATCAGGTCCAACTGCTTAATTTTTTTCCTATTCCCATGAGTAATTTTTCTACATCGTCTTAAGATACCTCTATGTATTATACGGCATGCTCTGGAAGTGGCATTAGGTCCAGCTCTTTGAAATCCTCATTTTGTACAAAAACACTTTGGAACCGTTCATTTAGTGTTTCACACATTTCTTTTTAATTCTCAATAGTCTTGTTCACTGTTCGCAATCTCTGAATTTTATCCTTTACGTACAGCTTACTTTAATGAATTTACACAACTATGGTATTGTGATCAGCTGCACTTCTACTCTCAGTCTATCATTAACTAGTTTAAACCCTATTCTAATTCAGTTGACTGTCTCGGATATAGCCTTTGCAATTTCAAGTTAACATCTTTAGGCAATGATCTACCTTACCTTATATTGATTAAGAGGATTAACATCCCCACAGCCCTGTCTCTGACCAGGCTTCCTGGTTGCTGGACTGGTCAGTCAGGCTGTTGGATGCGGCTGCTCGCAGCTGACGTATCAGCCTGGTTGATCAGGTATGGAGGTGTTTATCCAGTTCTCTCTTGAACACTGCGAGGGGTCGGCCAGTTATGCCCCTTATGTGTAGTGGAATCGTGTTGAACAGTCTCGGGCCTCTGATGTTGATAGTTCTCTCTCAGAGTACCTATTGCACCTCTGCTTTTCAACAGGGGTAATTACATCCTGCCATACCTTCTGGTCTCATGTGATGTTATTTGTGTGCAGATTTGGGACCAGCTCCTCTAATATCTTCCATATGTAAATTATCAAGTATCATGTATAAAGCAATATCCTGAGCTCTAAAGAATACAGACTTAGGCATTTTAGTCGGTCCCATTAATTTAGATATTTTACTGAGTGGATTCTAGCAGTAAAGGATCTATCTCTGCATGCTCTCCAGGTCAGCTGGAGCTTCAATTCAATTTCTTTCTTTTTTATGCACCCCATACCCATTACGTGGGCGGTGGTGTAAAGAATTACAGAGGCACATAATTGGTTCAGGAACTGAACCCTCTAGTTCGTTTAGCTAAGCAAATAACAATTTTTTGATGCTAGTTACAAAATTATTTGTTATATATACATGTACACACACTCATACATACATGTACATATATATATATACATGTTTCATTGAATATGACCGCATATTCTGTATTTATTATTTCTGGTTTAGGGCTTCTATCCCTCTAACTATTTTCTTAGCATCAGGGCTTAATTGGATAAGTATTATTAAGCCCTGATGCTAAGAAAATAGTTAGAGGGATAGAAGCCCTAAACCAGAAAATAATAAATACAGAATATGCGGTCATATTCAATGAAACATGTTTGAAAGAAAACCTGCTGCCAGTATACACCAATATATATATACATATATACATACGTACATATCTAATCACCCACACAAATACACACATCAATAATCTTTTGTGTCACAAGTGATCAACAAGAGGCTCATAACAGTCACTATACAAGGCACTTTACATCTATGGTGAGTCACAGTTACTGGTCTTGCTCCACACCCACCCAACTTTACGTGGGTGGGTGTGTTCACAGGAGTCCTGTTCACAGGACTGTAAAGCGGCAGCTTTACAGTCCTGTGAATGCATTACCTACAGTAAGCAAATTTTGGATACTTCGCTAGCTTGACCTGGATTTTCTCCAGCTTTGGAATGGGTATCATTATGGATGTAAGGGAGGAATGGAAATACATAATAATAGAAGCTGAAGAATACTAAAAGAGTTTAAAAAATGCATTTTGAATACCTATACTGTAGTAAGAAAGGTTTATGCCAATACACACACAAATCAAAATAGCGTGATACATTAAATGAACAAATCCACGATGAGCCATGATGAACCCTCATCACGGCCCTTGTGGATTTGTTTATTCCATGGGAGTATTCCAAATTTACTGAGAGGATTAGTAAATCACGTACAGTATATATTTTTGTTCCTGGTTCATTCCCAGTGCTCCTATATGCATCTTATGGCATAAGTAAGTGTATATTGCCTATTCATTTTTATATGCTTTTCCTGTACTGTAGATACTCTTTAGTTGAAATACTTTTTGAATTTGCTGAAGCAGGCACAGTACTTATAAATTTAAACCTTTTGACTAATACAGTATCTTGTACTATATTTCTTTCTGTCACTGTGTGTGTGTGAATATATTTTATCTAGTATGCTCTAGAAATATGTAGTGCACTCATATGTATCAGCCTTAGCTTGGAATAATTTTAATTATCAATTTCACATTTTCAGCTTTTTCAACGATGTCTGACGAAAGTTCTCAACATTGATCTATGGCGTCTTTATGTCACATACGTTAAAGAGACGAAGTCCAGTTTGCCGACTTACAGGTACTGTGCTATGAAGATAATTTCTTAACGACCTCTCACATATAATACACATATCAGTCACCTATATAACACAAACACATGCATAAATACTCACTTTGGACAAAAGTAAAACAGATCCAGGCCTTTTCTATAAATTCATTAGAAGCAAGCTGCATGTAAAAGATAAAATCAAGAGATTGAGAATGGGAGAATTTTTCACAGAGAATGAAAAAGAAATGTGCGTGAAATAAAGAGTAAATAAAGTAAATAAAGAGTAAACAAACAAGTGTGTTTGTGGAAAATGAGGGTTTTCAAGGCCCAGATACAATGCCACTTCCAGAGAACACCATAGAATACATAGAGGTATCTCAAGATGAAGTGGAAAAATTACTTAAGGAGCTAGAAAGAAATAAAACAGTTGGAGCAGATGGAGTTTCACCTTGGGAGCTGTGAGAATGTGAAACTGAGCGGAGCATTCCACTCCAATTGATATTCCAGATATCCTTGTGCACTAGAATCCTAGCATATGGAAAAAACAGTTCCAATCTACAAATATTTAGAAGACCTAAATTATAGACCCATATCATTAACAAGAATGGTAGTCAAAACACCAGCAAAAATAGTTAAAATCAAATGGGTACAACACCTACAGAGTACACTCAACCTGTCATGCCTTTCATGAAGACCTAGACAAAACAAGTGTATGGAGCAATACTTAGCAGATGAAATTAAATTTGAATAAATTCTACATTATGGGATGTGGAATAGGAGACCACAGACAAACTACAAATTATGTGAAAATGCTTTACAAAATTGGAATGTGCAGCGGTTATATGGTGCCCATCATATGCCCATATCTTTATTATTATTCCATTAGAAGCACATCAGTAATCTGCAAAAGATGCAAAGATATGCTTTGAAATGGCTTCTAGAACTGAAAAATGAGTTGCAAGGAAAGGCTAGAGGTGTTAAATATGCCAAAGTTAGAATATAGACGAAAAAGAGGATCACTACGTACATTCAAAATAGTAAGAGGAATCAACAAAACTAACAAAAAGAATTTTGAAACTTGCAGCTTTAAGAACAAGAGGTCATAGATTCAAAGGTGCCAAAAATATTAGTAAGTTCTCTTTGGCCAGTAGAGTGGTAGATGGTTGGAACAAGTTAAATGGGGTGAAGGATGCCAAATCTGTCAGTAGTTTCAAAGCATCATATACCAAAGAGAACAGTACTGGGAAGATGGGACACCATGAGAGTAGCTCTCAACCTGTAACCACATTTAGGTAATTACACACTCACACTAAAATTCACATTCTCACTCCCCACCCCCCTTCTCACCCCTACTTACTTTCAACACTCATAATAAGTTCAAGTAAGATTGTAGCTTTATAAATAAGAAGTCACATTGTAGCTTTTAGTAGTACAACTGTAATTTACTGTACAATTTACTGTAATTTACTGTTGTATTTTATATATAAATACTGTACAGTAAAAGTTCAATGCAGTAGTACTGTAATGAAGAGCCAGATTCCAAATCATTGAAATTGAAATAAGTTTATTGAGGTAAAATACACACAAAGGGATGAGGTAGCTCATGATATTCTCACCCCGTTCAGTACATCGTGATAATACATACATAGACACACATGACAAACAATAAACATATTACCGAACATTCTGAGAGATAAACATATACTGTACAGTACATTCCTCCTTTACACAAGTAGTATGGTATCAGACTTACACACAAATACTTTTATGACCTAGGTATACTGTATAGACAATTTTCAAGAGACATGCAGATAATTCAACAAAAGATTACAGTCTTGGTGCAAAATTCTTATATCTCTCAAGAATATCATCAACCTTTCCGTTGTGACACATCCAGGCTATTTGCTCAGGAACAGTCCTTATCTCAGTGTTTCTATGTACATTAATCAACGGACAATGAAGAACATAATGGGCAAGGGTGTGATGGAATCCAAATCATGATTCTTTGTGTTACATGTTTGTTGTATTATTCATCTTTTGAGGTAAACAACTTAGACTTATAGACTGTTGCTTCTGGTAAGTCATTAAACTAATTAGCTGCCCTTGTCCCCTACCTGTTCTCAACCTGTTATTGGTTTTGAGGATCGATGTTCCAGAGGTGATTATATACAAAGACAATTACCACATTTAGGATTTATATTTTGAATATTTTAGCAATAGTACTGTAGATATTACATAATTATTTCAGAGAATTTACCACTTGCATAACATTTTGTATTATTTCAGAGAGAAGTTGTCACAAGCATATGAATTTGCCATAGACAAGATTGGAATGGATTACAACTCCTATACACTGTGGAATGATTATGCCAATCTTTTAAAAAATGTGGAGGTTGTTGGTTCTTATGCTGAGAACCAAAAGATTATGGCAGTCAGAAAGGTTAGTACTGTATTCAGTATGGCGAATAAGCCTGAATGGTCCCCAGGCATATATGCAACTGGTGTACAGGACACCTTCACCACTCGACCATCATGACTGTTCAAAAGATGATAGTCACTGGTAGCAAAGGCACTGGTAGCCGAAGCTACCAGTGCCTTTGTGTTTCTCACGTGTGCCCCAAAGAATAAGATGATTTGATAAAATACTATGCCCAAGATTATCACCAGAGCGCCGTCGGGATGATTAGGTAAATAGCTTCGGCTATCATCATCTTTTGAACGGTCGCGATGGTCGAGTGGTGAAGGTGTCCTGTACACAAGTTGCATAGTGCTCCTGGCAGTATGGGTTTGAGTCACTTCTGGGGTGTGAGTTTTCAGTTATATATATAGATATACAGTATATAGAAGAATGAATCTCTTTATCTCTTTTTCACTGAAAATTTAATATTCAGGAGGACTTGAAAACTGGTAAAAATAATCTACAGAAATCAAATCCCTAATTTCATACTTCATGACAATTGTAGGGGTCACTTTAGGGGGTCACAATATCTCTTAAAAGGTGGCACTTAGGTCCACCCCAATTGACCTATGATACTCACATACTCCCCCCCATGGATAGATGCCAGTAGTGGGCATCGGGCCCACTACTTTGAACTGACAGGCAGGCATTGTATTTTATAGATATAAATAGATTCTTACATTTTATTTATTTTATGAATCATAATTATTTTGACAACAGGTATACCAGCGTGGAATTGTTACTCCAATGGCAAATATTGAGCAGTTGTGGAGAGACTACCTCGAATTTGAAAAAAATATCAACCCAATTATTGCAGAGAAAATGAACATAGAGCGTGGTAGGGATTATATGAATGCCAGGAGAGTTGGCAAGGAGCTGGAGGCTGAGACACGTGGCTTGAACCGTCACCTGCCAAGTGTACCACCGTCGGCTCTCCCAGAGGAAACAAAGCAGGTGAGCACACAGCTGATATCTATTTAATTTACTGTGTATATTGTGATTATTTGCATTCTATGTAAAATATAGGCAATAATTCCTTTGAAAGTGTGGTAGTAGTAAATGCTGGCCTTCATTTTCTAAGATATTGTACTTTGGTACTTTCAAATGATGCAATCTCTTTTATTTTGTAGTTTTAGAGTTAAGTTGGAAGAACATGTCAGTTGCAAAAATAGGCAAATTTTAAGCAAGACTGAGCTTGGGCGCTGGGTTTTCTGTGAAATGATGATAACAGAAAATGTCTTGATTTTCTTTTTGGTTAATACATGTAATAATAACTTCTGCACAATACTTGTTATATGGAGCTATTATAAAGCATTTCTGAAGTGTGAATATATTTGTAGGTACCGTTTAGAGCATATTGTTTTACTAAATAAATAACTAATTTTTAGGTAGAGATTTGGAAAAGATACATCAGATGGGAGAAGGATAACCCTCTACGTACAGACGATCAGACACTAGTCACCAAGCGTGTGAGATTTGCATATGAGCAGTGCCTCCTGTGCCTCTCACACCACCCGGACATTTGGTATGAAGGTGCGCTCTTCCTTCAGGAGTCCTCGAAGCTCTTGTCAGAGAAAGGAGTAAGTTCTTCATCTACTGTTCTCTTGGGTTTGATTTTTACAAATTCTTGGCATAAATAAGATTTTAATTGAATTTTAGATTGACTCAACTTTCTAATATTTAAGTATGTCAGTGCAAAACAAATATAACATTTTGGGAACATGCTCATAAATGGAAATAAAAAAATACACTAGAGAAGCCATTTTTGTCATCAAACAAAATATCCATTCAGCAACTCTAAATAACTTTCCTCCCCCTTTTCCCCGGGTATTTGTTTATTGTCTAAATTCACCTTCAATCAATTGATCCTCCTGTACAGGTATTGAGACCTTGTTATTCTTGTCCCATTATTCTCTAAGTGCAATATTACTTTATTGATTCAAAATATATGTTTTTGTGGATAGAATTAAAAGTACTGTATTTGTTTGTTTCAGGATGTAAATGCCAGCAAAATATTCAGTGAGGAAGCAGCTCAGATCTATGAAAGAGCCATCTCTGGCCCACTGAGAAAGAATCAGCTGCTTTTTTTCGCATATGCTGACTTTGAGGAGTCTCGACTACGCTACCAGGAAGTTCATAAAATATATCAAAGATACATCGAAATGGAAGACGTTGATCCTACGCTGGTAGGTTATGCTCTCAATTGGCAGTTTCACATTACAGTTCTCTCTTTTTAGTTCTTACAAGTGGTATATAGGTTTGGTGTTCTAAATATTGTACTCATGGTGTTCTAATACAGTGCAATACAATGCAAAATATTTACAGTAATTTTAATTCATGTTATTTGTCATATTTTTGAATGTTTGAAGACTTAATACGTTACACTGTTTACTCTTAAAATATTTTTCAGGCCTATCTTCAATACATGAAATTTGCACGACGTGCAGAGGGCATTAAATCTACAAGAGAAGTGTTCAAGAAGGCGCGTGAAGATGTTCGTACACAGTTTCATGTTTATGTTGGTGCAGCATTAATGGAGTATTATTGTACAAAAAATAAGGACATTGCCTTCAGGATATTTGAGCTTGGTCTCAAGAAGTTTCCAGATAATGCTGATTATATTATGGCATATGTGGACTACTTGTCACATCTCAATGGTAAGTAATCTATAAACTGCTTGTTTTTTTAATAGGCACAGATTAGGAGACATGTAATAGATTTATGAAGCTGTTTCTGCTAACTTAGAAAATTTTCTCCATGATAGAAGCAGTTCTGTGTTTGCATAAACTTTCTTCTACATGATAACCACCTCTCAGTCACAACTGCCCCAATTTTCTGAACAGTACCCACCCCCACTCAACCCGCACCACCCCCACACAACCCACACCACCCCCACTCAACCCGCACCACCCCCACTCAACCCGCACCACCCCCACACTCAAAAGCAACACAAATATTATACACATTCTCAATCTCTCACTCTCTCCTCTCACTGCATAGTGTCATGTAAGCCATTTAGTTGCTCCCTCATTTATCTAAGAAAAATCCACACACACATTATAACTTCTAACTATTTTTATTTTCACAGGTTTAAGGTAGTGTGCATTTTGTGTATTTACCTATTATTTATCCATCTGTGTCTGTATGTGTACATTGTACAATTCAATACTGTATACCAGTGGTTCTCAACCAGTGGGTCAAAACCCCCAAAACCCCCTTGGGGCCATGAAATGTTTTCTGAGGGGGTCACAGAACCTAAATTCTGGATACTGGTAATCTAAATCATTGAGACTTGGCAAGTAGGAGCATCCTGATTAGGAATGTTTTCAATTACGAAAGTGTAACGGGGTCACAGGTCTTCTGAGTATTAGAAAATAGTCTGCTTTCTCTTTCTACCTTGGACCTCTGTCTGGCTTTCATCAAAGGAAATGGTTGGGAACTACTGCTGTATATACAGGAGAATGTTGAGAGATGGGCAATTGTATGTTTATTTAAAAATTATTTTAGAATAGAGTACAGTACAGTAATTTTATTGAGATACACCTGCCATAGTAAAATACAGTAGTGTTACTTTCTTTGATCTTACTGCAATAGAAAAAATAATACAGTATAATATTTATCAAATATATATTGCCTAAATGTTTCAAGGCTATCGCTCAAATATTTAAGCTATGGTAATTAAAATTTCACTCATTTTCTACTAGATTTGCATTTAGCATTGCTTCTAAACCTGTCTGTTTTGTATTACAGAGGATAACAACACCAGAGTATTATTTGAACGTGTTTTAACCTCGGGACAATTGAAGAATGAAGATACAGTTGGACTTTGGAATCGTTTTCTGGAGTTTGAGTGTAATGTAGGAGATCTAGCATCTATTGTCAAGGTTGAGAAAAGAAGAGCACATGTATTACAAAAGGTGAGATATTGTACTTGTGAATTAAATGAAATTTAAACACTGTTTTCTATAGTTTCAATTATGCTAGAATTAAAAAAAATGTTCATATTACAAATTCATGTTAGGCAAATTTTATATTTTATTTTTTCACCTCATGGAAATGGTTAATTTTAAATTCCCTCATACAGACCAAGAGTTAACTTGGGACCTTTTAGATGCTTTAATAGAGAAGTATTGTTTTTCTAAGAATTTAATATCAGTTGCTCTTCCATGGTTTTTTAACTTAATTCCTAATAGAAATTATTCTTGTTACACAGCTGCAAGAATTTGAAGGGAAGGACACAGCTCAGCTTGTTGACCGCTACAAATTTATGGACCTTTATCCGTGTACTCCAGCTGAACTAAAGTAAGTTCTGTACTGTGTTAACAAAATATTTGTTGTGCAATGAAATCACATTAACATGATGTATCAATGAGAACATCAGTAGAATTTTGAGAAAATCATGTCATGATGTAGTGGTCTAGGGTGTTGCTTGGGAGAACCCAATGAGTGGGTTCAAATCCTCCTCGTGGTTCCTACTGAGTTTCTCAAAATATTTGTTTGTAATTGAATATAGAGCTTATTTATAAATGTTTATGAAGAGGGAAATCAAGCTCTTTGGATCCCATCTTCTAGCATTTCATACCAAGGCCTTTTAAACTTCTTGGAATTCTAGTTCTCTGCTCTAGTATCTAGTTCTAGTATCTGCTCTTGAAACTGTGGGTGGATGTGGTTTTTAAAACTTATTCTTTCAGTGCATCCCATGTGTTCATCAACCACACTGCATACAAGTACTGTATTCTCTAATGCATTTCTCACTTGACTCAGTAATATCATTGCAAGCCAGAAATAAAGCAGAAAATTCCTTAGGGTAAATTGTATTATAGAGGATACATTGACAGATAATAAGTCAATATTATAAATCAAGAAACTGGCAACTGATCACATCCATCTAGCAACCTGGGACACAACAGTCAACTGTACATTCCACTGGGACTACTTTCCTCTACCATCTTATCTTTTTATCTTGAGATGATTTCGGGGCTTAGCGTCCCTGTGGCCCAGTCCTCAATCAGGCCTGTAGCCCAATTGTTTCCGCCTACCCCGGAGACTGAATCCGTAACCTTAGAACTACGGATCCCGAGCGCTGCCTTTTATCCATCTGGCCGTCTGGTACCATACCATAAGTACTAATGTAGTGAAGCAATGTGATGTCTCACTACATACAAGTGTTAAAACATTAGGAAAAACAAGTGTCTATAGACACTTACAATCGACAATCGACTTGATAATCATCTATACAGTCGACTTGTTAATAATCCAAGACAGACCGAAACGTCGTCGTCTCTTCAGTTTCTAGTGTGTGGTTTGATCAACATTTCTTCAGCTACGTTATTGTGACTCATCATCTGCATCCAGAGAAAGTATTAATTACTGTAATATGGGAAAACATAACCCAACTGATGAATATCATACCATTAACATTCACACAAAAGCTAGCAGTGATATATGGAAATCACTGCTGGAGATGGAGATGGCTCCAATAAAGAGGTGGCCAAGTCAAGAACAGGTATAAAAACCAGAAATAATTTAAATTGCCAAAATTTGGCAATACTAGGCACAGGGGGTTTGTAAATATGGGCACAAAAGCAAAAAAAAATGCATTTTTATGCATCCTTGAAAATGCAGGAACATGTTCACGAGGGGTACATACTGTTTTGGAACAGAGTGCAGATACTTTCACCTTAAACAGTGCAAATTTTCAATTACTGAAAAAAAAGTTAAAATTTTCAGCGCCCGGAATGTGAGAGGTACACAGCATTATAGACGGGAAAATTTTTTTAAAAGGCAAGCAGAAACAGAGTAAAGCATATATGAGAGACAGACAGATAGAATCATTGCTGGAGTACAGAGGGGGAGGGAGATATCCACAAAACTGGAATACAAGTTATCATCATTCACACTGGTACTACACCACACAACACTCGTACTATTACCAAAACTGGACGAACCACTACCAAAACAGCACACCCTGGATCAGGGTGGGGAGGGGGTAGAATGACCAGAATGACCAATATGGGAAATCATTCATATTTGCAAACAAAGAAGGCCTATGTAGGAGGTTTTCCTGCCAATGCTACCCCTCTCAAGGCAGAATTTGTAACAGAATGTGGCATCACCAATATACAGTGTACTGTATAGGTATTCATTATCAATTTTGTCAAAGTTTTATGCAAAAGCCCTATTTCATCTTCATTTTATTTCAGCTGGAGTTTCAAATCTGTCAGAAGTTTTATGCAAAACGTTTATTTTCAGAGCTATAGGTTATCGAGATATCTCAACACATACAATGATAACCAATCCAAACATTCCCCGAGGCTTGTCTATCCATGATGCACAAGAGCCAACTTATGCGAGACCAGACTTTTCACAGATGATACCATTCAAGCCCAAAGCCAAATATATACCAGGCGAACACCCTGTCAAAGGTATTGTAATATTACTGTACCATTTATTTTGTTGAATAATTTGTATGTAGTTTTACTTAAAATAATTTATCAACATTTTTTTAATAACAAATTAGTCAATTAACAGCATTAAACCATATACCACTTTTTATTTGCTAGTTAAAAGGGCTGCCTGCCCTTCCAAGGGGCTTCATATGTGTGGGTTGGGTTGTTTGTTTTCAGACATGTTATTTTTACTCATTATCATATTACATTATAATTACAGTATTTTGTTAATGTTTTTCTATGTTTCAGGTGGAGCGTTTCCTCCCCCTCCTGCCGTGGCCAACTTGTTATCTCTGCTGCCACCGCCGAGCTGCTTCCGTGGCCCCTTTGTCAAACTTGAGGCTCTAGTCGATCTCTTCATGAGGCTTAATCTTCCTGAGCAAGGTTAGTTACTGCAGTATTTTTATGTAAATATTTGTTAATCTTGTGTCTTGTAAAGAATATACTGCATCATTAATTGAGAAACTTATTGAGATTCTTCTCCCATAATACAGTAGCATGATGCTGCTTGAGTACCTTATCTAAGACTTACCTAAAACACTTACTTGCATTGCCTGTCTATGCACTTGTTATAATTGTTTCATTTAGAAACTTATTATTCATAAGCTTGAATAATCTTGTTAATAAACCCTGTTAAGGAAATTAATTCAAGCCTCTTTTTTTTTCATTCCTTGATGAAATATAAAACTAAAATTTACTTCTCTTTCCCAGGTGGTCAGTGGTCAACTAGTGGTAGTCATGATGTTCGGCTCTTTGAACTGTCAAAGTCGGTCCATTGGGTTGTTGACCCCAGTGGAGACCGCAAGAGAAAAGTGATTTCAGGAGATGACTCGGATGATGAAGATGGTAACAAGCCAGTACTTACCAGTGATATTTACAGAGCTAGACAACAAAAGAAAATGAAATAAAGCTATGGTGGTGATATGTATTTTACATACCGTCTCAGAGGGATTTTTCACAAAACATGGTGTTAACCCTGTGACATGTAGCTCAAATCTCTTAATATTAAGTTAGAAGAGCAAGTGGTAAAACCACACATCTGATTGTGATATCTTAAAAGAGTGCCGCCAAGCATGTGTCGTGCACCAAGTCTTTTAACCATGGTACACCAGTATTGTACTTGTCAAACATTGAATTTGAATACAGTATTTTGTTCTCTCTGTGCAGAAAATGTAAAGATACTTTCTAGTTTAAATTACAATGCTTATTGGTGACTAAGCTCAGTTCATGATAATGGAAGGGCTAGCAGGGTGAAAATGACAATGACTTAACCAGAGCTGGTTGCTGCCATGATGGGTCTTAGATAAAGCACATTCTTTGTACATGCAAAGGTACCATTGTACTGTACATTTTAGTAGTTTGCAATGCAAAGAATGTTAGCATTTTATTATTTTGTAAAATCATCTAGTTGCTATTAGGAAAATTCTAGGAATGTGCAAAAATACCAGCAATTTCAAACGGCAATTTCTGTGTGAGCCCCGAAGGCTCCCTGAAGCTATCATGCTCTGATCAGTCCCATACTACTAGATGGCATCAGTTGCGGAGTTCTATTGACCACGAGCCAGAACCTTCCCCCCCCCCCCCCACACAGAGAGGCGCAGGGAGCGATGCTCCCTCCCTCACTGGGAGCCTATAAAAACTTAACATTTAAAATTTAATCGTACTTGTGGGAAGCTAGGTAGCTTGCCACTACTAGTGAAGCACCTAGAACGTTAGGCAAACCAAAAGAAACTACTGCATGGTTTAAAAATGAGACTGCAGCCTCAAAATTGCCTAACTAATTTCCTCAACATTGAAAGCAAGCCTCCAAAATTTTGTGAACCTAGCGCCCGCTAGTTTGCCCCTCCTCATCCCTCGCTTTGGAAGAGGGAGGTGTATCGGGTGTGTTTCATGAAATTTTGTTGGTTTGTTTTCATTGTTGGGGAAATTCTTTTAGAAATTTTGAGGTTTGTTTTTATACAATGCAGTAGTTTGTTTTGGTTCGCCTAACTCTCTGGGTGCTTCCCTGGTGGTGGCAAGTATGATTAAACTTTAAATGTAAAGTCTCTTCTCTCCGGTAGGCCACTAGAACTCCGTGACATTACTGCACCTAGTAGTACAGTAATGATCATTGAATGATCCTGCCTGAGGGAACCAATGGGGCTCCCACTTAGAAACATATTTCAATTTGTATATATTCTGTATTATTGTAAATATATTTAATGGTAATAGATGCAAGAATTTTTTTGTTCTGAAGATTATTAAATAAAGTATAATTTTTTACATACAGTATATCAATTCTGTACATTTGACCAAAACCAGCAGTACTGCATTTATACATTTTTAAGGGCTGTAACTATTTTTCTGTTTACCAGTTAGCTTTATCTACTGCCTCAATCTGAATCTAATTTAAAATTACTAATTTTCTCTGTTTATTAATCTACTTATCTATTATATACCTTGTACTAAGCCAAGCTGAAGAACTGAATACAACTGTAAAGTGAAGCAAGTGTAACAAGACTGTATCTTCACTCCAATCAAAGATAAGAAGAATATCTTGAAACTCAGGAAATACAAATAATCTATTATATATTATCAAATTCCTTACGCCCATTCTTAACCTTACAGTATTAAAACTACGTATACAGGAGACTGTGCATTATCTTATATATTGTTATTGAATTTTGTCAATACTGGTTCAAAATTGTTTCTTAATTTTGACAAGAAAATCACTTGGCTGTAAAACATAATTTTTATTTTTAACAGCTTGTAATGAAAGATTTCAATTTTATAAGTGTCTGAATTATTTCACATTATTTTGAACTGAAAAGTACAAATTATTACGTGTGTGTGCATGTATATAATGAATGTATGTTTGTATGTATATAAGCAGTTTTGTAGGGAAGACTTAAGGGCAAAATAGTGTATGTCAATGGCAGTTTTATTATTAAATTGGAGATAAGCTTCAACCTCATTTAAACTGTATAAGAATTTTTACCTGGTACATTCTAATTTTTATGTCAGCTAGTTATTATGATGATACCAGTGTAAGTACATGTATTATTATACAGTGGGACCTTCGTTTACGAATTTAATCCGTTCCCAGAGACGATTTGTCAACCGAAACTTCGTAAAATGAAACAAATTTTTCTATAAAATATAATGTAAATTGAATTACTCTGTTCCACACTCCCAAAAATATTAACTTCATAATGCATTTTATATATAATACTACTGTACTCATTTTGTATGAGTATATATAATATTACCATATTTTGTATATATATATAATACTACTTGTATATATATACATATACAGTCATAATATAATACTACTTATACATATATACAGTACAGTATATCTTACCTTTATCAAGTCCTTTATTGAGGACTTGTTGGTGTATGGAAGATGGTGAGGAGGGGGAGGAGGAGAGGTGTTAGTGTTTGGAAGGGGAGTCCCCTTCCATTATAACATCAGGCTGTGATGACATTTCTGAGGTACTCTCTCTCCTACATTTTGCAGGCATACCACTAGGACCTGGTTGTGGCTCACAACCAGTAATCCAGAACCACAAGCTCACTGATTGTTTGTCTTACTAAGAATCTGTCTATAGACATTTGTTTTTCCCCCCATGCCTCACAGCACTATGAATACCAATTCTTTCTCCAAATTTCCCAAACCCCCAGTAATATAAGGTAGATTAATACCCCTGCTCACCTTAAATGCTTTCATATCTGCATCACTCGTTCCAGGGGTTTTCTTTATAAGATCTTCATGCAAATAGCCTTGCTTTTTCACATATGATGGCCTCTGAAACGCTTTCAGAGACCCATGGCGTGATATATACATGTAATATGTTTTATGTTCAAAAACCAATAAAGTACAAAAACAATGAAATTCTTCACAAAGAATTCAAGTAAGGTCATCACTTGGTGTGAGACACTGGTAAACCGAAGTGTGCCATGCGCCAAGTCGGTCCTTATGTGTATCAACAAACTCGCCAAGTAAGGCAAAGCTCATATACCGAGTCAAATTTTACGAAGAAATTGAGCTCGTAAACCGAAAATTGTGTAAAGAGTGACGTTCGTCAACCGAGGTTCCACTGTATAATGTAAAACTTGATAATTGATGTCCTAATATAATTATTAGTTATGAGAAGTATGCATTTAGGAAATTTGCATAACTACAGATGAAATTATTAAGCTTATAGTGAAGGAATATTTACAAGCTCAGTGTTTTCTTGGTGCATGATGGGTTTCTTTGATTTTCTCATTATGCTCCTATTACCTTAAGATAATTCAGCACTGAAGTTTATTTAAATATTTAACTACTGCCATTGTGGAGTTGATTTATGGAATTCGAGCCATGCATCATTGCTACAGTAATCCAGTAAGGTTCACCTTGTCTTTCTGTCTGTCTGTCTTTCTATCTGTGCCGGGCCCTTGTGACAATGTTACATTTCTAGATTGTTGTGTTAACTAATACATTGTAAACTCACTAATGTATACAAACATTTTTATACAGTAATAATAAATATTACATCTATTATGAAAAGAAAATTGCATATGTTCTTTCATATCTCTCCTAATTACATTAAAGAACAGTATACTATAATTATCCCAAATTAGTTACATATATATTGTTGTTGTATTTTAACATGTCAAATTAATATTAATATATTTTGAGTTCGTTAAGTATATGTCTACTATGGCCAGGAAATTTGGAAAGTTTAATTACAATATCGATAAATAAAATATTTACTTCAAGATAAAAGGGTGTACTACTCTTGTTATCATCTTATATAAATCAATAATTACTAAAATATCAATACTGCTGGAGTGGGTGGCTTCTGGCATGGTCGAAACAATTGAGTCACTTCGGTGGGTTTCTTGCTTATTTCCCATCCCAAAGTGGGACTTGATGGACATCTAGTTCATCCTCGACATTCCAAGGCTAAACGGTTTATTCCTTGACCCACGTTATGGAAGACCACCGTGCCCCAGGTTAGTCTTATATTAATGGCAGACTCTTGGATGATCTATCTGGACTTCCGACATATATTGGCATATTCCTATACATGCAAGGTTCACAAATTTGTAAGTTTTATAGTCGAGTGGCAACTTATCACTTTTGAGTAACAAGCTTTGAATGAAATGAAACACCAATTTCTGGGTGAGCCAGAGTGGCTCCCTGACTCATTAACTTTTCCCGGGTGTCAAGGTGGTTTCCATCATCATAAGGACTGGTGATGGAGCAGCCAGCTGATCCCATCTGCCTCCCTCCTTCCCTCAAATGAGGGGAAAGGTGGAGCATTCTAGCTCACACTAGTTTCACAAATTTTGTATAATTTGTCTGCATTTTGGGAAAGTTCTTTTGACTGTTTTGAGGCTGTGGTCTCATTTCTAATCAAATAGTGGTCTGTTTTGCTGTCACCCCATTCAATGCGGTGATGGAGGCCTTTGAGCATGTTCCTCATGCCAGGGCTTCTGGGTCTTCCCAGTGGATCCCCTTCTTTGCTGCCTTTCCCTTGGACTCTGCTTTTTCTTCAAGGGTGGAGGACGGCTCTACTCCAAAGCCTGGATTGGAGGCTACCGGGGCTGGGGTAGTCGGCTTGGGGCTCTTGGGCCCTGTTCGATCCTGCCTGAGCCTTGGTGCCCTTGGGGCGGGGATTGCCGTTGCAAGGTTCGGGGTTTTCGTATCCCCCTTCCCTGTACAAGTTTGATTTGAGATCGGCCCAACCAGGGTTCGTTTCCGGATTCCTTCAGGTTCCTTCAGGTTCTGCAGCAGAAAACCAGAGGTTTTTCACCGCTCTGATTTTCCCCTGCAGAGGTTCGAGAGGCCCTTGGGGCATAGAGCCAGCCTCTCCTTTCCCAGCACCCTGCTGGCTGTTTGGCCAAACACAAAACATCCGTGTTTTGGCCATGTTTAGTCCCACGATTCATGTGCGTTTAGGGTCCTGTCCTCCGGCCTGTGGTGGCAGTGGGCGGATCCTCCTCCACTCGGAGGTTCGGGGATGGTGGAGCAGGCTTTTTCTCCTTCGCTCCGTTCGGTCATCTTGGAGTAGGTTCTAGTTGAAACGACTTTGAGGAAACGATCTCTTAAGTGGGTTTCTCGCTTGTCTGCAGTTCTGAAACGGGACTGTGTGGATCTTTGGCTCATTATGGACTTGTCCCGTCTGAACCACTGGATTCCTTACCCCTTTCAGATGACCAGTCTGTCCCAGGTCCAGCTTCTCTTGGAGCCAGATTCTTTGATGGTGTCTCTGGACCTCTGGGACGCATATTGGCACTTCCCCATTCACCTGGGGTTCAGAGATTGGTTAGGTTTTGTGGTGGGGCGGCTTACCGCTTTTGTTGCCTTCCCTTCGGGCTGAATCTGACACCTTGTGTTTTCACGCATCTTACCTGAGTCTTGGTGGCTGTCTGCAAACTGCTTGGGATTCGAGTTTTGGCCAGCTCAATGACTGGTTGGTGTGGGCTCCCACCCAGTCTGCTTGTCTGCTCGCCAGGGGTTTGGTTCTTTCCCAGCTTGCCAGATTCGGGTTCCTGGTGAACTGGAGGAAGTCCCATTTGGTTCTGTCCCAGGTTTGGACTTGGCTGGGCCTTGTTTGGGCCTCTTGGACGGCATCTGTGTCTCTCCTTCAGCATTGCTCCAGCTGTGGTCCTGCCTTCGGCTGTTCTTGAGGGGGACTCGGTCAGGTCACTCGGCTGTTGCTCAAGCAGCTGTGCGAGAGTTTGAACTTCGCCGTTTGAAGAGTTTGAACATCCCCCAAGGTTTACTTGCTGGGTCGGGTTTGGCTTCAGCGTCTGTTCTGGTTCCTTCGGGGCCCTCCCTTCCGCTGCTCTCGCATTTGCTGGGTACTTCCTCTTGCCTTGCGTCAGTTGCTGCGACTCTGGCTTCCTCTTCCGGAACCCTCGCTCGATGTCAGCTGATGGAGACAGCTACAGTACTAAGACTACCACTGTACTATGAGATGCCTACAGTACTGAGACAATTTCAGTACTGTGAGTCAGCTACAGTACTGTGAGAGCTGCAGTGCTGTCAGACAGCTACAGTACTAGGACAGCTACAGTACTAGGACAGCTACAGTACTAGACAGCAGTACTGTGAGAGCTACAGTGCTGCCAGACAGCTACAGTACTGTGAGATACCTACAGTACTGTACTCACCTATTTGTGCTTGAGGGGTTTGAACGTTGGCTCTTTGGTCTCACCTCTCAACTGTCAATCAACTGGTGTACAGACTCTTGAGTCTATTGGACTCTGTCAAATCTCCATTTGAAACTGTGTATTGAGTCAGCCTCCACCACATCACTGCCTGGTGCATTCCATTTGTTAACTACTCTTCTTTCTTCTGTTAAAAATTCTTTCAAATATAGTATCTCTGCGGCTCATTTGGGTACTAGTTTCCACCTTTGTCCCCTTCTTCGCGTTCCACCCATGCTAAATAGTTTGTCTTTGTCCACCCTGTCAATTCCTCTGAGAATTTTGTAGGTGGTGATTATGGCTTCCCTTACTCTTCTGTTTTCCAGGAACATAAGGTTTAGCTCCCATAGCCTTTCCTTGTAGCTCATACTTCTAAAATCTGGGACTGGTCTGGACTACATGCTGGAGCTGCGTGCTCCAGGATTGGTCTGACAAAAGTGGTATTCAAGGTTCTCAACGATTCCTTACACAAGTTTCTAAAGTCAGTTTTTATGTTGGCCAATCTATCATATACCGCTGATGATATCCCTTTGATTTGGGCCTCTGGGGACAGGTTCGGTGTGATATCAACCCCCAAATCTTTCTTTATTTGACTTTTTAAGAATTTCACTGCCCAGATGGTTGTGTTCAACCTCCTGTTGCCTTCACCTAATTTCATTACTTTACACTTTCCTGAGTTAAACTTTAGTAGTCATTTCTAGACCATTCCTCCAGTTTGTCCAGGTCATCCTGTAGTCTCTGTCTATCTTCATCTGTTTTGATTTTTCTCATAATTTTTGCATTATCAGGAAACATTAAGAGGAATGAGTCTATACCCTCTGGAAGATCATTTACATATATCAGAAACAGGATGGGTCCAAGTAAAAACCCCTGTGGGACTCCACTGGTAAGATCTTATTACTCTGATGTCTTCTTCCCTCACAGTTACTTGCTATTTCTTGTTGCTTAGATACTCCCTTATCCATTGGAATACCTTACCTTTTATTCCTGCCTGATTCTTCAACTTTAATAACAGCTACTTACGGGGTACTGTGTCAAAGGCTTTCCGACAGTTTAAGAAAGTGCAGTCTGCCCCACTCTTCTCTTTCCTAGTTTTTGTCGTCTGGTTGTAAAGTATTGGAAATTAAGGAAGAAAATATGAAAAATGAAGAAAGGGTGAGGGAGGAAGAGGTGGAAGGGAGGTGTGAGGAGTGGTCAGGGGAAAGGAAAAGTTTAGAATGAGAAAGATAAAATGAGATTAAAGAGGAAAGTAGAAAATAGTTGAGTAGTAGAAAGAAGAGTGCTAGAATGTAGGAAATAAGCTAGTAGAACGATAGAAAAGGTAGAGAAGAAAGGTAGAAGGTTGTTGCCACCATCCATTCAAGTTAGTTATTGAAAAGAAAAGGAATGGAATTTGTCTGCACAACAATATTATCTAGTGTTATCATATACCCACTATACGAATATAACTCATGTAACCAATAATCTTTAAGTCAAAAACTTAAGCCAGTAAACTTCAGAGTGCTCTCCACTCTAGTTTTCAAAATCCAAGATCTAAGGATCAGAATTAAAGACTACCAAAAAGTAAGTTAATCAATTATACATTTACTATTATGGGTATCATAATTCACTTGATGTGCAATATGTCAACATTAATATTCAAATTTGAGGGACCACACAAGAAACTGAGAACACCTTCAACTGACTGAGAATCACACAACATCTAAGTTGGAAAACACAATATACGTCACCTAATAAGTTCCCTTACCTAATAAGGGAACTAATAAGTTCTGCCCACCTGAAGGGAGCCGGTCGGCCGAGCGGACAGCACACTGGACTTGTTTTCCTGCGGTCCTGGGTTCGATCCCAGGCGCCGGCGAGAAACAATGGGCAGAGTTTCTTTCACCCTATGCCCCTGTTACCTAGCAGTAAAATAGGTACCTGGGTGTTAGTCAGCTGTCACGGGCTGCTTCCTGGGGGTGGAGGCCTGGTCGAGGACCGGGCCGCGGGGACACTAAAAAGCCCCGAAATCATCTCAAGATAACCTGTCTCTTTCTTGCTTAATCTTTGTGACCTGGCCGTAAAATTCTATTAAACCTGTGAAGCAAGATTTCCCACATCTGAACCCATGTTTCTCATTACTGTAATTGTCAGAGTTGGTTATAGCTATCTAGAATCAGTAGTGACCTACTGGCGTTGCCGCCAGATGCACCTCTTATCACTGAAGAGAGTATGACGCTGACGCACATATACTGTGACGCAGGCAGGTGGCGGCAGCACACGTCACCACACCCGCGGGATCCTTTGACCTAATCGGCTCTCGATGAGATTCAGGGTTAGTCCTTTATCTTCTAAAAATTATAGTCTTCTAAAAATAATTCACATGTTCCTTATACACACACACACATCAGGAGTACCACAGGGTTCAGTTCTTGCACCAGTGATGTTTAATGTCTACATAAATGATCTACCAGTTGGTATACAGAATTATATGAACATGTTTGCTGATGATGCTAAGATAATAGGAAGGATAAGAAACTTAGATGATTGTCATGCCCTTCAAGATGACCTGGACAAAATAAGTATATGGAGCACCACTTGGCAAATGGAATTTAATGTTAATAAATGCCATGTTATGGAATGTGGAATAGGAGAACATAGACCCCACACAACATATATATTATATGAGAAATCTTTAAAGAATTCTAATAAAGAAAGAGATCTAGGGGTGGTTCTAGATAGAAAACTATCACCTGAGGACCACATAAAGAATATTGTGCGAGGAGCCTATGCCACGCTTTCTAACTTCAGAATTGCTTTTAAATACATGGATGGTGATATACTAAAGAAATTGTTCACGACTTTTGTTAGGCCAAAGCTAGAACATGCAGCGGTTGTGTGGTGTCCATATCTTAAGAAGCACATCAACAAACTGGAAAAGGTGCAAAGGCATGCTACTAAGTGGCTCCCAGAACTGAAGGGCAAGAGCTACGAGGAGAGGTTAGAGGCATTAAATATGCCAAAACTAGAAGACAGAAGAAAAAGAGGTGATATGATCACTACATACAAAATAGTAACAGGAATTGATAAAATCGATAGGGAAGATTTCCTGAGACCTGGAACTTTAAGAACAAGAGGTCATAGATTTAAACTAGCTAAACACAGATGCCGAAGAAATATAAGAAAATTCACTTTCACAGAGTGGTAGACGGTTGGAACAAGTTAGGGGAGAAGGTGATGGAGGCCAAGACCGTCAGTAGTTTCAGAGCGTTATATGACAAAGAGTGCTGGGAAGACGGGACACCATGAGCGTAGCTCTCATCCTGTAACTACACTTAGGTAATTACACACACACACACACATATATATATATATATATATATATATATATATATATATATATATATATATATATATATATATATATATATATATATATATATATATATTCCAGGACGGATAGAAAATTCTATATGAAATATATATATATATATATATAATTATATATATATTATATATATATATATATATATATATATATATATATATATATATATATATATATATATATATATATATATATATATATATATATATATATATATATATATATATATATATATATATATATATATATATATATATTGGTGTATACTGGCAGCAGGTTTTCTTTCAAACATGTTTCATTGAATATGACCGCATATTCTGTATTTATTATTTTCTGGTTTAGGGCTTCTATCCCTCTAACTATTTTCTTAGCATCAGGGCTTAATTGAAATAGGAGTTCTCCAAAACTCATTTTCGTACTTTTAAGGTGAAGAAAAGAAGTGATTTACTATAAGTGTATTACACTTATTTGTATAATTTGCACGACGTTTCGAACCTCCATGGTTCATTCTCAAGTGAACAGATCTTACAATACTAGTTGATTTTATACCCGCATTAGGTCAGGTGATAATACAATGAAGGTGAAAACATGGGGGGATACATAAGGGATAAACATAGGGGCTGCAGAAGGCTTATTGGCCCATACGAGGCATCTCCTATCTAAACACAAAGATTAATCTTTGTGTTAATCTTTGTATATATATATATATATATATATATATATATATATATATATATATATATATATATATATATATATATATACAATCTTTGTATATATATATATATATATATACAATCTTTGTATATATATATATATATATATTTCACACATTTCATCGACATGAGAATTTTCCAGGACGGACCGAAACGTTGTCGTCCCTTTACTTTCTAGTGTGTGGTCTGGTCAACAAACCTCATATCACTTGATGAAATAAGAACCAGGGGAGATCTGATCACATCAGAGACATTGAAAGTGGTTAAAAACAGTAGAACATAGGAAACTGTAAAAGACTTACAAGGCAGTTCCTATCTAAATATTTAATCACAACCAATCAAATTTCTAACCTACAGCTGAAACAATCTGGCGACCGCACAGTCTATTATAATGCATGATTATATGTTTCAATAACAACCCAATTTCCGATTTAGATTCGGAATCTAAACTTATCAAGTTTGTATCCGGTCTTTCTTGTTCTATTTTGTGTTTATGTATTAATGAGAGAGGAGGGAGAGAGGGCGGGGCATCAGTGTAGGTCTTGCCACACTTGCAGCCGGGCGCGCCCCACTGGCTGCAGATAAGGCTCAAGAGACCACTTGTTGAATATCTCCACAGATCACACCACGAGCCGAACAAAGATGATATCTCTAGTCATCGAGTTACACAAGCAGATAAGACCCGTTCCAGGAAGGGTTACGAGTGGCTGGCTTGGTGCTAAGGACGGTGACGACGGGTGAAGCACTGACAAGGACAGTACCGGTGACAGTAGCCCAAGTTACTGTCCAACAGCAACAACTGCATGGTTATTCCCCACCGCCTGGCTCTCCTTCACCCCCACCTGTAACTACCAACCGGTTCGTGGCTCTCCCCACACACACCTGTCAAGACAATAGGTGTCATTCTGCAGGTACAAGTACGCTCCACCTGTCTTACCTCCACACAAAACACTAATATTCTCCCTCCAGCACCGTCGCCTGACATTTCCTTCCCGAGTATTGGCAAGACATATGTCTGCGACCGTAACTGGTTCTCACGGAGCAGTTCCTGATACCACCGCATAAAACAGCATCGCTCTTTTTCTTTCCAGCATCATACCAAGAAGTTCGTTTGACAAGTTTTACCAGAAGGGTTCTGCAACTACCACCAGGGTCAGTACCACTACTACCACCAGCGTAGCCACCACCACACTCAAGGGACACCATGCCAGCACCAGGACTTCACACCCTCTACCTGGTCTTAGCGGCACTCTCCGGTCTGACGCAGGTGGGTTTAATTGTTCAGGAAGATGTAAATACCCGCTACTATAGTCTCCTCCCTGTGAGTGGTAGTGTGTTGGCACCCTATACTATCCTGTGAGTGGTAGTGTGTTGGCCATACTCACCGTTGTGGCTGAGGTTGTTGTGCACCCCATACTCATCCTGTGAGCGGTAGTGTGTTGTGGACCCCATACTCATCCTGTGAGCGGTAGTGTGTTGTGGACCCCATACTCATCCTGTGAGCGGTAGTGTGTTGTGGACCCCATACTCATCCTGTGAGCGGTAGTGTGTTGTGTGTTGTGGACTGTGAGCGGTAGTATGTTGTGGACCCCATACTCATCCTGTGAGCGGTAGTGTGTTGTGGACCCCATACTCATCCTGTGAGCTGTGACCCCATACTCATCCTGTGAGCGGTAGTGTGTTGTGCACCCCATACTCATCCTGTGAGCGGTAGTGTGTTGTGCACCCCATACTCATCCTGTGAGCGGTAGTGTGTTGTGCACCCCATACTCATCCTGTGAGCGGTAGTGTGTTGTGGACCCCATACTCATCCTGTGAGCGGTAGTGTGTTGTGCACCCCATACTCATCCTGTGAGCGGTAGTGTGTTGTGCACCCCATACTCATCCTGTGAGCGGTAGTGTGTTGTGGACCCCATACTCATCCTGTGAGCGGTAGTGTGTTGTGGACCCCATACTCATCCTGTGAGCGGTAGTGTATTGTGCACCCCATACTCATCCTGTGAGCGGTAGTGTATTGTGCACCCCATACTCATCCTGTGAGCGGTAGTGTATTGTGCACCCCATACTCATCCTGTGAGCGGTAGTGTATTGTGCACCCCATACTCATCCTGTGAGCGGTAGTGTATTGTGCACCCCATACTCATCCTGTGAGCGGTAGTGTATTGTGCACCCCATACTCATCCTGTGAGCGGTAGTGTATTGTGCACCCCATACTCATCCTGTGAGCGGTAGTGTATTGTGGACCCCATACTCATCCTGTGAGCGGTAGTGTATTGTGCACCCCATACTCATCCTGTGAGCGGTAGTGTATTGTGTACCCCATGCTCATCCTGTGAGCGGTAATGTGTTGTGGACACTAACACTCCATCTTGTATGACCCTCTACAGGGAGCACCAGTCACCCACGGCATGATCGCCTTCGACGAGCTATCATGTGAGTATACTTCTTGTGTATACCATCAACCAGGACATGGGGGGGGGGGTAAACCTCATGGTTTCTAACTTGTATATATTTTTCCCAAGTTAACTTGATGGACTCCTGTATTCTTTTATACAGGAGAATACTCCTGTATTCTACCCTGACTTTGCGCCCTGGAGAGGCTACTCCAGATCGACAACCAGAGCGGAACTCCATAGTCTCCTGAGACTGATGGATGCCTACTAATCATACATTGAACTAGATAAATATTTTATAATATTTCGGAAAATACATAATTCAACATTTTGAAATATTTAAAAATCTTTTTGATAAAATATGAGACTCAAAATCAATTCTGTTTTCACAACATTGAAATTATATTTCAGCCAGATATAGAAATGTACACATTTTATACACATGTATACCCAGCAGACCAAATTAAGGTGCAAATCAAAAGTTAACTAACTTAACTTGCACTCTTAACTTCTCCCTGGGAGAAGTGCACAGTTAGTTTAGTTCATTTATTATGCACCCCATACCCATCTTGTGGGCGGTAGTGGAAAGGGTTACAGAGGCACATAATGGGCTCAGGGACTGAACCCCACAATTCATTTAGCTAAGCAAGTTACAATCTTGATGAGCTAGTTACAAAATTCAATATAAGTCATCACATCAACAATGGGTTCGAGATCTGTGTCGAGTTCTCCACCACACGAACACAAGACTCGTATAGTCTTTCTTGATCCCCAAGCTGCCTGTGGCCGACCTAATACGGAACTCCTCCTGAAACAGCTACTTTGTCGAATTTAGTTTTAAAGTTGTGGATGGAGGTGACTTCCAGGGCGTGTTTCAGTGCATCCTGCTTGCTGTAGTAGCGAGGAGGTCACAGGGAGGCATAATGGGCTCACCAACTGAACCCCGATATTCCTTCAGCAAAATATAACATTGATAAATAATAATAATAATTATTATTATTAATTTTGTATTTACAAGAAGGTATAATGGGTTTGTGAGATTACATAAGATTGGTATTTTTACATTCTTGCAAAGCCACTGACATGCATAGCGTTTCGGGCAGGTCTTTAATATAACATATCAGGATAGATGAAAAGGTATAATGTAGCAAAATTTTGTATCAACATATGACTACAATATAAATTGACACAGGTGATTGCACTGGTGAAGATATGTTTTAAACAGAGGGACTGTGTATTGTCTGAAAACATACTTTGTTATAGTTACATGAACATAAACTCACTCCACACATTCTCTTGTGTCATTTACATGTACAAAACACTTGTTCCTAAATGCAAATCCTGATCTGAAATTCTTCCTGGACAGATGTAATAGAACCCATAATCACTACACCAGAAATAAATATATCTTTCACATCCCCAGAGTCAAACTAAATCTGTGTAAACACTCTGCAAATAATGGGACCTTGTCTATGGAACTCACTCCCTAACGAATTAAAAAGCTCTCCAACCTATCCCTTTTTTCAAAAGTAAAACCAAAAAGTATCTAATTTCATCCTTATAGTTTCCTACCTAGTGCTTCAAACTCGCACTGTACCTTGTGCTACCCAATCCCCCAATATATGTGCCTAAGCCATACAACTTTACGTAGTGGCTGTACAAGAATGTAAGAACTCTTGTATAAATAAATAAATAAATAAATAAATAAATAAATAAATAAATAAATAAATAAATAAATAAATAAATAAATAAATAAATAAATAAATAAATAAATTGTAATCACTGCTATCAACTTATATAATAGTTGTTATGTTGAACGCAAATTTAACTACAATGTACCTATTAATAATCTTCAAATTATGCTACAATGTCCTCTTGATAATCCTCAAATTTTACTATTACGTTCCTATTAATTTTCTTCAAATTTTCTTGCAATGTACCTGTTAATGTTCTTCAAATTTTACTACAGGTTACCTATTTCAAATTATCTGTTAGATTAAGGACCTGCCCGAAACACTGTGCATGTTTGTGGCTTTGCAAGAATGTAAAAACATCAGTGGTATGTATTCTCATAAACCTAATGTACCTTGTTTTATAAATAAATAAATAAATAAATAAATAAATAAATAGTTCTGATAGGAGATTTTTGCTGAATGATGATGGTCTTGAGGTAATTTGCATTTTTTTTATTATTATTATTTTTCTACCACAGACGTGGCCACACATAACCAATGCTAACATATATACATTTTCTTCTGTCCTCCATGGACAGGGTAATTTGCAGTGGTTGAACCAGATGCTCAGATACCGTATGTAAGATAGGGATAGATTAGTGCGTAATATAATGAGAGGAGAGCAGAGTGGAGGACATATCTTATTTTAGAAAATATACCGACCGTTTTTATACGGTTTTGGCTATGTGTTGTATGTTGTATGATGAGCTAGTTACGGAGCTTGCTAACATACACATCAACAATTATATTCCCAGTGTATGCTGATCCCAGTAGGCTCCTGACTCACCCAGTGCAGGTTGATTATGATCAACACATCCAGGTCAGGACAACTAGGAAGACCTTCAACCAGATTACAGAGCTCCTCATGCACGTGAAAAAGAGGTGCAGTGAGATAGGAAGTATCTAAGTACAGGGAAGTGTCTGGGTGGAGGAAAGTGTCCAGGTGAAGGGAAGTGTAAAGCGGGAGTCGCAGAGGAGAGCATGTGGACCGCTGATGTATACAATGACCTTTCAGTGCAAGTATCGGGTCCTCCTTCGTGCTTGTCTCGCCCCTCCAGCAGGACATAACTTCTCTTCCTCCCTGGACCTCCTCCATATTACTTGTCATAATGCTCACCACTTCTCACACTGATAAGGTCAGCCGCCCTCCTCTCCTCGTCTCTCAAGTAGCACTATCAGTAATGGCATCTTTTCTTTGTTTGCAGCCTATTGGGAAGCAGACATTTTGCCAGATAAATTTGTAAGTACTCATCATGTATACTTTTTGAGTTTGTGTATGTATATGTATGCATATATTCATGTACATGAGTAGATGCATATACATGTGTATGCATCTGTGTGTGTTTGTATGAGCATCAGTGTCTGTGTGTATTTATATGTAATCATGTGTGCGTGTGTGTGTATATGTGCTCATGTGTGCGTGTATATACATATACTCATGTGTGCGTGTATGTACATGTACTCATGTCGGGGTGTATGTATATGCACTGACGTGTGCGTGTATGTATATGCACTCACGTGTGCATGTATGTATATACTTTCGTGTGGGCGTGTCTGTACTCGTCTATTTGTGCTTATTTATTTGTTGGGATAGAGTGGGGAGTTTTGGTTGTTTCTTGGCCCGTGGACACCCCATGTGGGAGCTCTACCCCCAGTCCCCCCGACCTTCCTGCCTCTTGCACCGCTGTTTGGGGCTGTGTTGAGTTGGCCGAGTACCGCTTCACCTTCCAATCCATTCCATTTCCCTACTATTCTCTCGCTAGTGAACGATATTATGTATGGAATGACCTTCCCAATCATGTCAAAGACTGTACCTCTCTCAACCAGTTTAAGATAAAAACTATTAAAACTACCTACTTAAACTCTAGTGAATTTTGTTGAAATTTCTTGTTAAATCTAAATCTAAATTATTCCTCACCTTCCTTTTCTACTCTCCGTTCTCCTATTTTCTCGTGACAACTTTCTCTTTTTATTTCCAAACGTTTTTGAGTTCTGTTGTCATAAACCTGTGAACAGCCTCGTGGCCCGGGTCTCACCTTTTTCTGGTTTAGTTTTGTTTCTTACTGTGGAGACTCCTCTCTGGTGCTGCATACCCAAAGACTATAGTCTCACGTAGGTAGTGTGTGGTGCCTAGGATGCTGCCCTTTCAGGATTCGTAAAGCCTCTCTGGATTCTTACCGGTTTCACTTATGCCGTATACGTTATTAAATGTATGTGGTTTTCTTCATTGTGTACTGGTCTCGTCGTCTGGTGGGCTCATTCACGTAACTACTTTCAAGATCAACTCCGTAATATGTTCAGACATTTCTTAAATATTCTACAGGAAATCTCTACCCACGTGGGTAGGTTAATACTGGTATTGATTACATAAATCAAGAGTAATATAGGTTCTAGTATTTGTCCTTGGGGACGACTGTTTGCTGCTCTACGCAGTCAAGTTTCACCTGTCTTTGTACTGCTTGTTTATGCTCGGTATTGTCTTGCCCAGCAAACTTGTGAAGTAGCCTCACGTGCGCCTGTGCCAAAGGCTGCTCTTGTCTGCCAGCCTTACCAGTTTTCTCTGTCATGACCCGTCATCGCCGAGGTGTTTCGTCTGAAGTTGTTCTCATTATATAAATCCATATTAATGCATGCTTATAAAAAATCCTACAAAATCCTACATCCTATGTAGATGTTCGACTAGTCTCCTTATCTTCTTTTCTAATACCTTGCAGAGTTCCTTTTTTTCTGGGAGGTGGTCAGACATGAATACCTCCTGGAACCTTGCATATGAGTTATCCAAATATTTTTGAATTACTGTAGCCTACTTGCTCATCTTAGGCACTTGCTTGTTCATCCTCCTGCTACTGACAGTTTGGTGTCTGGATATAGCTATCACAGGTTCTGATAACTAGACCTAGATGCTAGTCAGCGAGGATGTCCGTGAGATTGTGTAACAGTGGGAATGAGGTAATCCATCAGGTGGCATGAGGCACCACTGACAGGGACCTCACTAACCTCTGACTCTTCTTCACAGTTACCCAAGTTGGTGATGGGTGACAACGCTCGCCTGTGGCCAGGCGGGAACCTCCTGTACAGGCTCGACTACGATGTGGAGAACAACACTTACGGTGAGTGCCGTCTCCATCACTTCCCTCCACTCCTCACACTGTCACAGTACTTACGGTGAGTGCCGTCTCCATCACTTCCCTCCACTCCTCACTCTGTCACAGTACTTACGGTGAGTGCCGTCTCCATCACTTCCCTCCACTCCTCACTCTGTCACAGTACTTACGGTGAGTGCCGTCTCCATCACTTCCCTCCACTCCTCACACTGTCACAGTACTTACGGTGAGTGCCGTCTCCATCACTTCCCTCCACTCCTCACTCTGTCACAGTACTTACGGTGAGTGCCGTCTCCATCACTTCCCTCCACTCCTCACTTTGTCACAGTACTTACGGTGAGTGCCGTCTCCATCACTTCCCTCCACTCCTCACACTGTCACAGTACTTACGGTGAGGGCTACATTTAATATAGCCCTCATAATATTTATTACGAGCTAATGTATCTAAATGTTTTGTTGAGCTTAATTATATTTGTATACAATATCTGGTATTAGTCTGAATGAAATGTTCTCACGTGACTGAAGCATGTAAACAATAACACTGGTGCCGAGAGTAAAACAAAACACCTCATCCTCAAAGGTAACATAATTTGCACCCGCAAGAAGACGTAATAAACTTGAGGGTTGTAAGATGTTAATCACTTGTCTCACACTCTGTTCACTGAAGGCAATTCAGTGTTTAGGTACAAGTGACAGGATGAACAATCCACTGGGTTCTCTACCTATTGGAGTGTGATGCACAAGCTGCTCTAGCGGTATGTTTGCTCACGGGATGAGGGGCGCTGCTCAGTGAACTAAACCCTCCGGGGAGGGGAAGCAAATTAATACAAAACTGACTATATGACTGTAATTATCGTTGGGTCGACAGTGACGGACATCATCAAGGCAGCCATAGAGAAGATCAACGAGGCGCGGTGTGTGAGTGTAACGGAGGTGGGTAATCAGGCTGAGGATTACGTCTCCGTGCAGCTGGGGCTGGACTTCTCGTCCCACGTGGGCAGGCAGGGCGGGGTCCAGGTCCTCACCGTGCCCAAAGACCAGATTGACATTGGCTCTACCATGCACGTCTTACTGCACGCCCTCGGTACGTTCTTTGGCCCCACTTATGTCGTCTGCTCGCCATTGTATCTTGTGCCCACTTCTGTCGTCTGCTCGTCATTGTATCTTGTGCCCACTTATGTCGTCTGCTCGTCATTGTATCTTGTGCCCACTTCTGTCGTCTGCTCGTCATTGTACCGTGTGACCACTTCTGTCGTCTGCTCGTCATTGTACCGTGTGACCACTTATGTCGTCTGCTCGTCATTGTACCGTGTGACCACTTCTGTCGTCTGCTCGTCATTGTACCGTGTGACCACTTCTGTCGTCTGCTCGTCATTGTACCGTGTGACCACTGCTGTCGTCTGCTCGTCATTGTATCTTGTGCCCACGTATGTCGTCTGCACGTCATTGTACGTTGTGACCACTCATGTCGTCTGCTCGTCATTGTACCGGGTGACCACTTATGTCGTCTGCTCGTCATTGTACCTTGTGTTAATCTCGATAAGGTTCACTATATATATGAGTCACTGTGTGTCTCAGGGCACGGGAGACATGTCCCGTCACGCAGGGTGCAGTCGCACCTCCACAGATCTCCAGTATCAGCTCTTGATACTGATAATGGCTCAAAAGGGCCACCACTTACGGGCTATTCATGCCCGTGCCACATCTTGGGTGGCTTAATCTTTATCAATCAATCAATTGTCTCAGGGTTCGGACACGAGCACAACCGGGAGGACAGGGACGACTACGTCACAGTCAACATGACCAACGTCAAGGAGGCCGCCCGCAACTACTTCACCAAGTACACGTGAGTACGCATGAGTACACGTGAGTACGCGTGAGTACACGTGTGTGACCGCTCCTGTTGTGGTGAGGGCGAGTTGTACAAACCTAACTGTGCTTTTGGCGGTTGGGCTTCGGCTCTTTGGTCCCGCCTCTCAACTGTCAATCAACTGTACATAGATTCCTGAGCCTACTGGGTTCTATCATATCTACATTTGAAACTACATATGGAGTCAGCCTCCACCACATCACTTCCTAATGCATTCCATTTACAAACTACTCTGACACTGAAAAAGTTATTTCTAACGTCCCTGTGGCTCATTTGGGTACTTAGCTTCCACATACAGAAGTCTCAGGGGAATTGACAGGGTGGATAAAGACAGATTATTTAACATGGGTGGTACACAAACAAGGGGATCATAGTGGTAATAGCTTGCCGCTTTCTCCCGATAGTTCCCTTCCACCTGTGTCCCATTGTTCGTGTACCACCCATGTTAAATAATCTGTCTTTATCCACCCTGTCAATTCCCCTGAGAATTTTGTATGTTGTGATCATGTCTCTCTTAACTTTTCTGTTTTCCAGCGACGTGAGGTGCAAGTCACGCAGTGTTTCCTCTTAACTCATACCTCACAGTTCAGGAACTAGTCTAGTGGTATACCGTTGAATTTTCTCCAATTTCGTCTTATGCCTAACAAGGTACGGACTCCATGCTGGGGCTGTATACTCCAGGACTCCAAGACATGTATACATATGTGGTATACTTGGTTTTAAATTATTCTTTACGTAAATCTTTAAAGACAGTTCTGATATTAGCCAGCCTCGCATGCGCCACTGAAGATATCCATTTCATGTGGACTTCAGGAGATAGGTTCGGATAAAATATCGACTCATAGATCCTTCTCTCTGTCCGTTTCATGGAGGACTTCGTCTCCCATCTGTTACCTTGTGTCTGGCCTCCTGCTCCCTCCACCTAGCTTCATTCCTTCATATTTACTTGAATTTAACTCTAGAACCATTTGTTAGACCATTCCTTCAGCTTGTCCAGGTCATCTTAATTTATTGCAGCCTCTTGCTATTTTCTTCTGTCTAATCCTCATCATTTTTGTATCATCAGCAAACAGTAATAGAATTCCCTTTGAGAGATAGTTTACATATATAAGAAACAGTATAAGTCCAAGGACTGAACCCTATGGGACTCCTCTGGTGACGTCTCACCACTCTCAGACCTCACTCTTCACAGTGACTCGCTGTCTTCTGTTACTTAGGTATTCCCATATCTACTGGAGCACCTTCCCTTATGTTCATGCCTGCATATACATCTTATGCACTAATCTCCTATTGGGTACTGTGCCAAAGGCTTTCTGGCAATCTAATAATATTCAGTCTGTCCACTCTTCTTTCTTGCCTAATTTGTGTCGCCTGGCCATATAATTATATTAACTCTGTGTATGGGAGATGTTGTGGTAGGTTGGTGTTGTGGTAGGGTGGTGTTGTGGTAGGGTGGTGTTGTGGTGATTGTTGTTGTGACCCTGTGTTGGTCTCGGCAGGTGGAGCAGCGGGTACGTGAGTGACGGCCTCATGTACGACTACACCAGCATTATGCACTCCACCAACGTCCACGACATAAAAGTCAACGTAGACATTACCAAACCTGTCATCTGGAGGAACGACGGTGGAGAAGGTTAGTGCCTCCCTTGGTCATCCACGGAGAGGTTCTCAAGGGGTGCACCAAATGTGACTTCCTACCCCTGCATTCTTCACCTCTCTGTCATCCCTTGCCTCCCTCCATCACGCCTTGCCACCCTCCCCCATCTCCTTCGTCCCTTTACCATCACCTGCTCCTTCCACCCATAGTGATCTTGGTATGTCTCCATAGCTATTAAGTTTGGTAATTTTCAGTATTAACAAATGGCCGGATCGTGAAAAGTATCCACATAATGGTTGAGGGCGGGAGACACTTAAACATTATTAATGATTAAAATTAGAAAATATAAAGATGTGGACAAATAGAGAGGAACATGAAAACTAACTATAGTCGCACTATAACAGCAAGAATTATTCATTGTATCTTTCCACTTGGACTAGACGGTAGAGCCAGTCTCGCTTCTTGTAAGTCGGCATTCAGTTCCCGACCATCCAAGAGGTTGGGCACCATTCCTTTCCTTCGTCCTATTCTAAATCTGTATTCTCATATCCCTTCCAAGTGCTATATAGTAGTCTTAGTGCTTCCTCCTTACCTTACCTTCCACTGTAATTCTTCGTATCTCCATTTTATCAACATCTGGTCCTGTGAGGTCAAGTGAAGAAACTGTTGTCTTTCCGCAGAGTTGGGACAGAGGTCCAAATTGACAGATTTGGACAAGCAGCGCCTGCAGCTGGCTTACAGCTGCCACACCTGCGAGCTTCCTGGTCACGGTCAGTCACTCGTTCTCTGTTTTTTCCATCAAATCGCTAAATTTTCTCTTTACACTTGCCTTTTCTTTATAAAACTTTGAAGTGTTTTCCTTTCTACCATTTTTCTAACATTTGTATGATTTATCCTTAAGAAGCTGCAACAATATCTACATTATTGTACTTTACCTGATGCTGTACGTGTGCTTCTGGTCAAAGGTAACGGTTGCGAAGCTTTTTTGAGCTTCAACAACAGTCATACATTTGTAACAAATAGTTCTATATAACGGATGCCGCCTAAAGAAAAATAAACCAATCTTTGGCAATATACAGAGCATGTTAGGCTTCAGGTATTCACATTATTTGCACTGTGAACACCTACAATAGGATGGCACCAGTTCCAAGATATACCATAGATATACTGCCCCTGTAAATTCTGATACATATGTGTATTCTTCAAATCTCTTCCTTGTATCACTCATGCACTGACCGGTGCGTGTAACCCTTAATCTTCTTTCCCATGTAGAACATATTTGTATTTAATGTTTCATATACACATTTTGTATGTTCTCAAAATTTGTCGGCCTATGAAGGTGGACCAGCACAAGCATCATATTGATTTATTTGTGTACGAAGAGCAGTAATAGTTTTTAATTTGGATCCAATCTCCAAGTACTTTATAACCATATCCCACCAACTTTACCTGGGATATGGTTATACAAACCTGGCTGACAAATAATTTACCCCCAAGATCGAACTACTGACCTTACCCAGGATGCATCCTGACAACAGTTGCCTTTTTTCCGAGTTCCTATTTATTGCTGGGTGAAAAGTAACGTAACAAACCATTTCTGCCCCGCGCCCAGGAATCGATCCCGGGGACCCCGATTGTGATTCGAGAATGAGGCCTCTAAAGCCAGCTATATGAGAGAAAACTTCCTGTATCATTTAGTCTGGGAAGATAACAGTAAACCCAACAATGGCCTAAACTCTTTATAATTTCCGACCCTGCACCTATAGTGATTGTTCACTAATACTGAATCACATTATCATAAATTTATTTTAATTATTTGATAAAGGAAAGAGCAACGAGTTTATAATATTTGTTGATTTTTTCAGATGGTTTGATGTTCCGGTACCCTGGGGACTGCAAAAAGTTCTACCAGTGTTCTAACACCATCACATATGTTATGGACTGCCCAGCCGGACTTCACTTCAGCATTCTTAAAAATTATTGTGACTATCCAGTGCTCGCTAACTGCACCTCCGCTTTACAGTAAAGTGCAGGTGACTTCACAACCCGTTCTCCTGAATAGCACATAGCATTTTGACATAGAATTTCCCTAAGGCCAAAAACTGGTGTACTAATAAAGGCAGCGGCTCGCGAAATTGACGTGATGTCCCGATGTGACGACTTATACTGAATTTTGTAGCTAGCTCATCAAGATTGTAACTTGCTTAGCTAAATGAATTGTGGAGTTCAGTTCCTGAGTCCATTATGTGCCTCTGTAACACTTTCCACTACCGCCCACAGGATGGGTATGGGGGTGCATAATAAATGAACTAAAATAACTGTTCGGGGGTGGGGGGGTGTCCTCGGGTAGGTTAGGTTCGGGCACTATAGTACAACAGTTTAGTGACGTTGGGAACACTCGGGAGAACGGGCTGGAAAATCATCCAACCCATCCTATAACGATAATACTTATAGCAAATAGTTGGTCAAACATAAAAAATCGGATTGTTGTACTGTACCTAAAATAGTTCACGTTTTGAAATACTGAATTAGCTCAAATTACATTTTTTTTCATAAACAAACTTACATTAGCTATACACAACAATGTGCTGCTTCCTACCCTATTCTGTATGCAGGATTACAGAATGTAGATCAGAAACTGTCTATGTGTTCATCTCACAGATGGTAAGTCATACATGGAATCAGCAGAGAGCATGCAATACGAATCTAATCTACTAGGAAACTCTTTGTATACGCTTAGAGCACAAGAATGTCGTCCAGTATTCGTGAGGGTGTGAAGTAGTTTCAGGGTTCAGAGATAAAAATGTTAAATGTAACGAAAGGCCTAACCTAACTTATCTAAGAAAACGCACATGGCTAGGCCAAACATACGCTATCTTAGGCCTAATAAATACATATATGTGCTATACTGGGCCTAGGAATGATATAACCTGTTTTTTTTTTTGGGGGGGGGGGTATTTTTGTTGTGCCTTGTATAGAAAAGTTTGTGTCCAACAGTCCGTTTGTGTACGTTAGAGCAAATAGTTGCTAAAGTACTATACTTTTTGGAGGATGGGTTGCCGTCTTCCATTACTCTGCCTGGGGTGAACCTGCCCGATCTAAATACCCACTAATATGTTAATGTACCTGGACTAGCGTAATGATGCTACAGATTCTAACAAGCCTAGTATCAAGTACTTGGTCTAACTACAGATTCTAACATAGCCTAGTTTCAAGTACCTCTGTCTACACAATTTATTAAAGTTGGCTACTATTTTTTAGTATTTAGGATTACCTAGCCAAAATAGATTTACCTTTACGTTAACTTTTATATTTATAGCTAAATGTGATCATCTTTAATCATAAATGAAATCATGGCAGTAGTGTCTGACGCTCTTAACATTGGTGAATTTTCTAACCACAATTAAATCAGCATCGGGAACATATATTACAATTTGGTTAAATAATGTGATGTATTCAACAATTACACTATAATATGCTTGATTTTCTGTTGTACAATGTTTACCACTTTTTACATATCACAATAATGTGTTATGTAAATCCTTGTTTAATATAGTAACTGGTACTTCCATTCAGAATATTTAGTGTTAAGCTTTTGTATCCAGTAGTTATTGTCTTATGATACGACCACTCACATCAGATATAATAGTTTATTGTATAATAAGATCATTAACAAGTCAATAAAACAGCTTATCAGAAGCGCACTGTAACTTCTTTTATATTGACCTTAATTAAGTGGTCGCAGCCGAATCTTATACGAAGCTGCGAATTATCAGCTCTCCTTGACAAGATGAGCAATTTACGTAAGACTTATCCTTCTCGTCGTTATTAGATTTAACAAGATAACTTGGCGGTGGTTATAGTTGTACTGGTGTCTGTTGATCACTGGTAAATGCTTTTATTTTGTCATTGTTAAGCTAAGAGAAAGAGTTAAGCCAGAATCTATCTACAGGACAGAATGTTTGTCCCCAAACCACACGCGTGGGGGGGGGGACAAACCACGCCCAACTTTGCAGGGTAAATGGTCTGGGGTATGGTACTGACATATGCCGGTTGGAGGTCACCTGCAGAACCAAACTTCTGCAGAAATTTTGGTCTCTAACCCTACCCCCTTACGTACTAGTGGCTTTACAAGAATGTAAAAGTACCATGCTATGTATCCTCACAAACCCAATGTACCTTCTTGTATATAAATAAATAAATAAAGATTCAAGATTAGGTGATAGGGGGGCAGATGAGGGGACAAAGGGGGAGATGAGAGTGGACAAGGGGAAGATGAGCTGAACTTGAACTTGAATCAACATTGTAAACAGCAATGTTGAGCACAGGGCTCAACATATGCCCTGAAGGATGCCATAAACTATACAATTTAAGAATAGTTTACATGACTTACATGCCGTGCCACCTCTTGGGCGGCTTAATCTTTATCAATCAATATCTACATTTGAAACTATGGAATCTGCCTTCGCCACCTCACTTGTAAGTGCATTCACTAGTTTGTTCACTAGTCTGACACTGAAAAACTTAATTCCAGTATGCAGGCGATGAGTCACAATAACGTGGCTAAAGTATGTTGACCAGACCACACACTAGAAGGTGAAGGGACGACGACGTTTCGGTCCGTCCTGGACCATTCTCAAGTCGGTTGTGAATGGCTCATTTGGCTTAATTCCAATATGTGTGGCTCATTTGGGTACAAAGTTTCCGCCTGTTTATATTTATAACAATAATACAATAATTAATTATTGCGTCAGGGGAAAGGCAGCCAGTGTATATCTACATGTTAGGCTTATTTTATTAGAATTTACCTGAGTCACTAATACGAGGACAGGAAGCCGGCGGCTTGTCAAAGGTTCCCCCATTTTTCTTTATCTTTCCAGTTGTATTTTAAAACCCAACAGAGTTTTGGCATTCACGGCCAAAATTCTGTTCAAGAACATTGAACTCGATATAATAGATCCCTTCCTATTTATAGGAAAGGACCTATTTATATCTAAGTTTCCCCAGGGTCGAATTACTGACCTGCCCCCTCAGGATGCAACCCCACAACAGGCTGACTAACTCTTGGGTACCTATTTACTGCTAGGTGAATAGGCGCATTAGGTGAAAGGAAGCGCGCCTATCCATTTGTCCTACCCGGGATTCAAACCAGGAATTCTGGATTGTGAGTCGACAGCAAACCCGATTGTTGTACTACCGTGCCAAGGACAGTCTGCCTTTATCACTCTATCAATTCATCTTAGTTTTTTTAAGTTTTAATCATGTGCCTCCTAACTTTTCTGTCTTCCAGTGACGTGAGGTTAAATTGCTGTAGCCTTTCCTCGTAACTCGCATCTCTCGGCTCCGGGACTATTCTGATGGCATACCTCATCAGTGGTATATATATAATTATTGGCTAAAGGGAGCCTTTTGTACTTGCTGCTGTACTAATATCAACTGGGAGGCTGAATTAGGTGACATAGTGAACATCAACCTAGCAGTGCAAACATTTCTCCAGAAAACTCTGAACCTTTATAACTCCCACTGTCCACTGATAACGAAACAAGTGACAAATAAAAGGTTAAACACTCCATGGCTTACAAAGGGTATACTTAAATCTATTAATAAAAAACATGACCTTGAGAAGAAGTATAGGTTGGTAGTAGTCTCCAAAGAATTTTCAAAGATTTACTCATCCATGCTGTCTAAAATAATTAGAAGAACCAAAATAAAATACTACGAAAATAAATTTACCCAAATTAAGGGCAACATTAAAAAAAACATGGAGCACTATCTCCCAAATATTAGGATAAAAAAAGATTTTGAATAAAAAACCAATTCTCCTATCCAGTGACGATGGTGTGCTTTCAGCCTCAGACACTGCTATTGAATTCAAAAGGTTCTTTTCAACCATTGGGACATCCCTTGCTCACAATATTCCGTCCTCACTCACTAATATTAAAGGCTACCTTACAGGTAACTATCCAGTTTCTGTACCTAGCTCCCGCTAATTCCTCTGATGTTGATGACGTAATCCGTTCCCTTAAAACTAAGTCAAGCGCCCTTGATGAGATACCATCTCTAAACTACCAAAAAGCCTGTAGATTTCTAGCTCCTGCCATTGCGTTGCTATTCAACAAATCACTTGAACTCCAAACCTTTCTGGATATTCTAAAAAAAAAACGAGAGTAACCCCAGTCCACAAATGTTGTGATCTCACTGATGTCAACAATTACGGACCTATATCAATTCTGCCAACCTTGTCAAAAATATTTGAAAAGCTAATCTACAAGCAGCTTTTCTCATATCTAGCCAAACTCAATATACTTAGCTCTTGCCAATATGGTTTCAGACCCAATAAAAGCACTAACGATGCACTTATTAGCATGATTAACTTGATACATGCAGCTCTTGATAAAAATGAGTTCCCTGTTGGGTTATTTGTGGACCTACGTAAAGCTTTTGACACTGTTAACCACCAAAACCTTCTTCTTAAATTACATCATTATGGAGTCAGAGGTCAATCCCTGCAATACCTTCAGCCCTACCTTACTGACAGGCTCCAGAATGTTTCTGTGAATAATTCTATTTCCCCTACACTACTCATAAACATTGGTGTTCCACAGGGCAGCATACTTGACCCTCTCCTCTTTCTCATCTACATTAATGACCTTCCAAATGCCTCTCAACACCTCAAACCAATTTTATTTGCTGACGACACAACTTTCATTTTCTCCAGTCCTGACCCTCTTGCTCTAAATGTCACTGTGAATACTGAACTAAATAAAGCCCATCTTTGGCTAACTGCTAACAAACTCACCCTTAACATTGACAAAACATTCTATATCTTGTTTGGTAATAAATCCTCAAATGAAATTAATCTAAGAATAAACAATATACAAATCAGTAGTAAAGTTGATGGTGAATTCCTTAGTGTCCTCATCGAACAAACTGAATTTCCAGGGACACATTCTAAATATAGCAAAAAAAGTTTTTAAAACTGTTGGCATTCTTTCTAAGATCAGATATTATGTACCTCGCCCTGCCCTGGTGACGCTCTATTACTCTCATCTATCCTTATCTTAACTATGGTATCTGTGCTTGGGGTTCTACTACCCAAAATCATTTACGTCCTCTAATTACCCAACACAAAGCTGCTATTAGAACAATATCTAACTCTGGCCCCAGACAGCACTCGGTACCCTTACTCAAATCTCTGAATATGTTAGATATT